GCTGCTCACGGCCTCGCAGTCGCTGGAGGGCGCGGGCGGGCGGCGCTCGGGCTACATCACCATCGGCTACCGCGGCTCCTACACGATGGGGCGCGAGGCGCAGGCGGACGCCAAGTTCCGGCGCGTGGCGCGCATCACGGTGTGCGGCAAGACGGCGCTCGCCAAGGAGGTCTTCGGCGAGACGCTCAACGAGAGCCGCGACCCCGACCGCCCGCCCGAGCGCTACACGGCGCGCTACTACCTCAAGTTCAACTTCCTCGAGCAGGCCTTCGACCGCCTCTCCGAGGCCGGCTTCCGCATGGCCGCCTGCTCCTCCACGGGCACGTGCGCCTTCGGGCCCGAGCAGGGCGGCCCCGCCGACGACAAGATCTGGACCAGCTACACCGAGTACGTCTTCTGCCGGGACTGAGCCCCGCGGCGGCGGCGGCCCGGGGCCCCGCGCGTGCGGCCGTCCTGCCGCGGCACCGCCGCCACGTCGTGGCCTCGCGGCGCCCTGTCCCCCCTCCAAGCCACCCCTCTTGCCCCCCGGTGTCGTGGCCTTCCAGGTAACGGTGTGAGTAGTGCTGAGGTGGGGCTGAGAACATCCCGCCTGGGACACAACGTGCGCGAGGCTCTGCCCGCGCCACCGGCGAGGTTTGTATCGTTGGGCTGAGCAAGCTCTTCACCGGCGAGGTTTGTATCGTTGGGCTGAGCAAGCTCTTCACCGGCGAGGTTTGTCTCGTTGGGCTGAGCAAGCTCTTCACCAGCGAGGTTTGTCTCGTTGGGCTGAGCAAGCTCTTCACCGGCGAGGTTTGTATCGTTGGGCTGAGCAAGCTCTTCACCGGTGAGGTTTGTATCATTGGAATGAGCAAGCTCTTCCCGGTTGCTTCTTGCTGGTTGGGCTGGTGTGACCAGCTGTGCCCATTTCCCCCTTCCTGCTCCCTAAATCTCCGAACTTTCCCCCTCCAAGCTTATAAGCTGGACTGGGGCCTGGGCGGTACATAAGGCTGGTGTGCGAGTGGGACAAATGCTCTGGATGACCCATAGGTGAAGCTATCAAATGCCCTCCGAGACGTGGCTGCCCCCTCCAGAGGTAACACCGCCGCTCTGGGGAGGCCTCAAAGTGCTTGTAAATCGTAGCTTTCATGGGTGGCATCGAGTCTTCATAAAACTCTCAAAGTTACTGTCTGCAACATGCAGGGAGAATTCAGTGCGTATTTTCCTAAACCCCCTCAAAAATGAGCAGGTTGGGGAGAAGCAGCCTTGCCAGAGCCTYCTGTGAAACCACCCATGTTGACTAGATGTGCGTGTAAGTGCAAACACCGACACCCTGCTCCTTTTAAGTTCTGTCATTTTGGTGTGGTTAACTAGAAGCCAACAGAATCGAGGCCGAAGCAGCTTTTCAAGAAACGGTTTCTTCGTTTGGATGCAATATTTTCAGGGAAGCGACACTGCTAAGAGTTAAGCACCCCTTCCTACACAAAGTTAATGCTTCTTAGAAAGGATTAAGCCWGGTCCTTGAACAAGAGCGATGCTTCCTTTCTTCAGGGGAAATTACCTTTCTCATAGTGAAGCTTTTCAAGTGCCATATTTGGTTCATATCTTCTTTTATTTCGTATAATCTATAATTTTTCCTCTCTTCTTTTTCCCCCAGAGGAGGCAGCCATTGCATTCTTTTGAACACACTATGTAAACAGTAGTTTTTACAGTGAAAAAAGATTGAGCTGGCCTTTCCAGTAAATTTTCAGTAAAAGCTGAAAATTTGAATACAAAAGCACTTTAAAACCTGCATTTGGTTAAAAAACCTGTATTGTCCATTCAGACTGTGAGAGAAAAACATGATTTCTGTCATAATTTCAAGAATTTTAGTGGTATGCATTAAAGCTTGAAGTTACATTTGAAATATAAATTTAAATATGAAGTTGCATTTTAAATGTCAAATAATGAATTACTGTCAAGTAACAACTGTCTTTACCCCTGACTTTAGAAATACTTCTAACACTTGTCATCTAACCAAAGAGTTTCACAATAGGGTTTTATTTTTAAAACCYTAATTCCTATGAGAAGAGCTGTACTTACATATGTACTGAGTCTGAGTTTCAGTGCTTAGTGTCTGTCTTCACCACTTGGTCTTTTGTTAAGTGCATGCATAAATTCTGCATAAAACTGAAAATAATTTGCATTGCCATGAGATTTTTTTTTCTTTTTTAATACTAGCAGGATTGTTTATTGATGTGATTACATTGAAAATGCACATACGAAAGCACCGGGTATCATGCAGTTGTAGATAGCTGTAAAATGGACTATTTTTAAAAGGAGAGAAATGTATGCCTGTCAAATCAGATGAGCAATAAGATAGCCATGGGAGGCCAGTACACCTGAAGAACAAGGACTGAAAGCTGTGTGTCCTATGCCTTACTCTGACATGATTCCTTTGTGCTTAGCTTATTTATACCGGAGTGGAAGGATTCTGATCGCAGCTACTGGGGCTTTRCAGTGTCCATCCTCAAGGATAATGACAGTCTTTTTCTAATTTCTGTTAAGTAATTCTCAAGTATGTTTTTTAAAATTTTGTATAGAATCAGTTTTCGGTAAAGTGCTTAAATTCACTCTAGATGGCTTCCTTTTTTWAAGGATCTTGTACTTCGGCTTACTAAACCCATCAGAGGAGCTATGAATAGAGGCAGTTTTAAATTGAAATTGTCATTTAGTGTACATATATACAGCATATAAACATTTTACATGAATCATTTAGTTTTTTAATTGTTTTAGTGCTACAGGATTTCATAATACAGCTAGCTGAACATTTGCATTTTACACTATGTACATAATATGGTCATGTTTTATTGGTCTCCTGTACCTGTTTCTATGGAAGATCTGAACACGAGTATCAGCATAACTGTGGAACTGAAATGGATTACTTATTTGCTTGAATGTGAATCATAACCTAACCTCCAGATGGCTAAATGCATCTCTAAAATGAGGGTTGCCTGTATTTTGATCAGTGAATGCCTGTCTGTTTGCTAGCAGGTGACTCAGAAACTCTTGTGACCTTTTACAGTAAAAATGGATGTAATAAAAGCATAATCTGATGATTTTTCATCTCCATGTTTGTGCTAAAAACTTTAGGCACTGGGGTCCTTCATTTTCCAATCACTCATTACGATCCAGGCTTAAAGCAGTAGTGCCATAAGTTTAATAGCCATTTGATGCTTTACCAGGGAAGATTAACACAAATCAATAATTTCTGTCAAATGTGTAAACTGCCCAGGGCCGAGTCACAGTGTTTTGCCACTCTGCCCTGCTGAGAGCTCAGAGGGTGGATAAACACTGTGACTCCCCTAACGTGTTGGTGTGCAGAGGGAGGAAACCTGGAGGATTTTGTGCAGTTGCTGCCGGAGTTCCTGGGTGCCGTTTGTAGCTGATGTTTTCCGTGCTTTGTGTGCTTCTGGATGTGTGGGAGCATTTACAAGTGCTGTTGAAAACCAAGGCAATCTCTTATTCAGAAGCTATGGCACAGGTCTTCACAGTGATGCATGTCACGGAGGGTAACYTTGGAGTTGTTTGATAGGATGTTTATATTTTTATACGTGTAGATAATGAGCCACTTACTCATTCTTACTTTCACATGTACAGCGTTGAAAATAAAGATCCTCCTAGGAAAATGTTGCAGACCAAATTAAATTCTTGTTCTTTAATTATGAACTCAGTTGTGTGATTTACGCTCTCCTTTTTGCTCTCATTAAAGACATTGTAGCTCTGCTTTCTGTTCTGCAGGATCAAATTCATAACTTCAGCAAAGACTCCTAATACGTGAAGCAGAAGTGGAGAACAAGAACGGTATGTCTACAGGGACAGACATCTAATAACATCCATGGCAAGATAACCCAAAATTCATGATGCTCAGATTACATACTCTACCTTTTAAGAGGCACAGTCAGTTTCCAGTGGCACCGTTTAATATAAATCAGTCATCATAATGATGAAATAGCTCAATTTGAATAGTAAAAAATAATTATTCAGGGAAGAAGTTGTGCTTTCATGAAGCCAGGAAATAATAACATGGAATATAATTGTTTTAATTTAATGAACCACACGTGAATACCTATGGAAATGCATAATCTGTGAGACCAGAAACATTTTAGCAATAGCTTTCTTTGGGTATTTACAAAGAAGAAAATGAGTGCTTTAAGGCATTTCGCTTTGGAGCAGAAAGGTGGGCTTTTAGCTACTTTATGATCTGTAGTGAAATATTATAAGCTTGATAGGATGTGCAATGTTCAGGTCCATAGAAAATTAGGAACCAATTGCTGGCAAAAGCTATTTTTCCCTTCCTGTGAATCACCTTTATGCTCAGCAGCTCTTCTTTTTAGCATGGTGAGGTTGTAAAAGAACAAGATGGAGGAGGCGTCATCAACCATTTCCTTCAACTGCTAGATGGCATTTGATGGGTTTATTAAGATAGAGTGATGCAAGGAAGGATTGTTCCATGAAAAACAAAACTTGGAATCCTGTCTTCCTGCACTTTCATGTCTCCCTTCCTTTATACAACCCTTTCAGTTAAGCTGCTCTCTGCCATCTCTTTACTTTCCCTAGGTGAAAGGAAGCTTGTGCTTTGGCAGAGCCGGCTTGGCTGTGCTGGTTATTCCCTGAATATTGCTGTCTGCATTCTAGCTTTCTCCGTTAGCGAGCTACACATTTTGTTTTTCCTTTCCCCTGCTAACAGTATTCATGGAATTTGTAAGAATGTAACATCTGTGAGGTATTTTAGTTCTCTCTCAGTTCTGCTTTAAATTGCATAGGAGCTCAGAAGTCATTAGAGGGGACAGATGTCCGTGCAAACAGACAATGCTTATGGACAGATCTTATTTCTTCGTGAGACGAGGGTAACAACAAATTACTATAATCAGTGCTTGGCACTGTCCATACAAACTCTGTTGTCAAGGGAGAACACAGCAGTCCAAGTGTCCTAATCCCCTACAGTTCATGGAGGCAAATGCTGACCAGTCAACTAAATGAATGGGTGGGATAGAATTTTCCAGTCTAAAAGCTTTGAGACTTGGTGCAATAGTCCTTGGCTGCCTGTCCTCTTCACTGCTTAGATCCCTGACAGCAGTCTTGAGAATATCAAAGCGCTAAATTTCTTCCTTGTTCCATTCCCCACGTTGTTCAACCTGCAGTGAAATTAAACTTTGTCACACATCTCTTGCTCTCAAAAGTGTGTAATGCAGAGTATTTTATTTTATACTTCTATCAAAGCTATTAGCAACAGTGAGTCAGCTTTTTGAAGTAGAGCTCTTTCACTGTGAGGAAGTAAGAGCTAGAAGAAATATTTGTGCAAATTGGTAGCAGCCCCATGTGTTTGGAGAAAATTATTGATATCACAAGAAATTTAAGATATTTTTATGTCTAATAGAAATAAGAAGTTCACCAATTACTCATATCTTGCAAACCTGGGGAGAAAAAAAGCTGTTGAAAGTTGTAGTCCTGCTTCATCTGGATGAAAGATTTTTTTTTCTTCACCTTTAAAAGGGTCCGTGTTTAGCAACTGAGAAATGACAGCATCAGCAGTAGACCTTTCTTAAGGAGAAGGACAAATGTGGGTTAATTGTTCATCATCCCTTTTGTTCAACAAAGCCTTAAAGGGAGGGATTGCCTACAGGAACATATAGAAATGAACCAGTGTCCTGTGACATCAGTACATGGATGATGCCCAGCTCTGTATAGCCTTTGCCTTGGCTTTTGCAGCTTAACCCAATTCACTCACACCAGAAGGTAAGTGTTAACTCACTGAAATTTAAACAACCAAGATGAGACTAGCTGAATGAAATACAGGGAAAAATACAGTTCTGTTGATGAAAAGTGTTTAATTTATTACTCTTGCCTGTAACTTGGAGCTAAAGTTGGAAGATCAGTTAGTTTATTAAGAAGTAGGCTGTGACTTTAAAGGAAAAAGTAAAATCCCTGTCTTCTGATGCTCTCTCTGCACACACACCCTCTCCAGAAGTGCACACACTGAACACAGCTGTGCTGAATGTGACCTTGCTTTCTGGTTTTCACTCTAACTACAAGATCCTACAATGCTGCCACACCAGCTTGGACTATTTTTCTGGTACTGTCTGAGCTTTAAGCTCACAATAGCACTTAATAAACAGTCTTTCAGCAGAACATGTTATCCTAACCAGGTGGGCTTCCCTCGATTTTGGACATGAGCTTTTCAGTCAGATTTTCCAAGTAGCTTAATGGTAATTTCTCCCCTTCATAATATTGCAGCGTTCAAGGTTATTAGAAGTCGAGATTAAAGTTTTCTCCTGCAATTTTGCCTTTTTTTTTTTCCCCTTTCAGTAAGGCATTTCAGCATTATTTTTCTTTCCCAAATCCACTCCTGTTTTCCCTCATCTTTTAAATTCCCTTTCTGTATCTTTCTCTGGCCAATAGCTGGAGACACCCGCAAGTCCCAGGGCCTGGGAGCTCCCGCAGCGTCTCACAAGCCGCTCACAGCAGCGCAATTCCTTTCCCTTCCCGCTGCTCTCCCCCTGCCCTGTCACAGGCTGAGCCGAGCCCAGCAGGCCCTGGGGTGATCCCCAAGTCTGGTTGTAGCAGCTCCTGCCTCACTCCCTTCCTGGCAACCAACATATCCTTCCCTGCTCCCCCGCTGCTGGCGCCTGGTCTGGATGAAGGGACAGCATTTGTATTCCAGGGAACTCTGCAGCACAACAGTCACACTGAACGGGTTAAAGTYCAACTGCTCATTTCCAGGGTTTGCTTTCAGCATCTGTATCTGCTGTCTCAGGAATGGTTGGAAGGCGGGAAGAGCTGTTTGGAAGGGGGCTGCTGGAGAGCTTGCATGCCGTGAGGGATAAGACGTGGTGCTAAAGGGACAGTGAAGACAGTTAAAGGCAATTTTATAGTTGCTCAAAACCCAAGGGGTCTGAACAACCCATGAAAACTTCAGTATGAACTATAATGAAACTATATGAAAGCACCTTTTTCTATGGATGGAAGCAGTGGCTTTATTAGTAAAAATACCTTTTTTGGAACACCAGCCCATTTCTGCACCTGGACCTATTATCATGGTAAAGGCTGCAGAATCACAGAATCACAGAATATTCAAGGTTGGAAGGGGCCTCTACAGATCATCTAGTCCAACCTTTCTGCTCAAGCAGGCACACCTACACCATGTGGCACAGGGTGGCATCCAGGTGGGTTTTGAAGACCTCCAGACGAGGAGACTCCACAACCTCCCTGGGCAGCCTGTTCCAGGGCTCTGTCACCCTCACAGTAAAGAAGTTCCTCCTCACCTGGAGACGGAACTTCGTGTGCTCCAGTTTATGGCCGTTACCCCTTGTCCTATCGCTGGCCACCAATGAAAASAGCCTGTCCCCTTCCTCTCTGCATTCTCCCTTCCTGAGCTTATACATGTTAATCATATCCCCTCTGAGCCGTCTCTTCTTCAGAGAAAACAGGCCCAGCTCACTCATCTTCTCTTCATACGAGAGATGTTCCATTCCCTTAATCATCCTGGTTGCTCTTCTCTGGACCCTCTCCAGAAGCTCCAAGTCCCTCTTATACTGGGGAGCCCAGAACTGCRCACAGKAAACAGAACAGAACACTCAGGTGCTGGTAATGGGACCAAACTGGCATGTTTCCTTAGAAAATGCTTGAAGGATTGTGTGTGTACATAAATGCACTAGTACTCCTGTAATCTAAAATACATTTTGCAGATTAGAAGATTAGAGTTTTTCAGTGATTTGTCTCCTAGGGTTTGAGGACAAAAAGAAACAACAGAATCATCTAGTCTGATTTTCTACATAGTATAGGCTGCAGGCCAAACAGTCTTTAAATCAAACTGCTCTATCTCTTGGGCGACCATCTAATCTCAGAGAAGATACTTCAGATGAAAAGGAATGCAYGACAGTGCTTGATAAATAGTTCCAGCTGCTAACACACTTCAGTGTTAGAATTTGCACTTYAGTACTACTCTGAATTAAGCCAGCTTCAGCTTCCAACCAGAAAGTTCTCTTTATATCCTCACTGTCATCCCAAGACTGTTCTCTATTAAGGGTAATCTCACAGCAGCTTTATTTGATTTAACTCTGGGGAGATACTGTCCTGTGCTTTCTCTCTATTCCCAACCGCATAYGGTCGTGTTATATGACCCATAATGTTATATGGACACTATCTGTATGACCACACAGTGAACCAGTTCAGAGGCCTCATAGAGCTGAAAACCTTAAACAGAAAAAAAAAAAAA